GGGGCAGTGGGGGATTGGGGCCCTGGGGGCAGTGGGGGATTGGGGCCTTGGGGGCAGTAGGGATTGGTGCCTAGAACAGTGGGGATTCGTGCCCGGGGCAGTGGATATTGGAGCTTAGGAGCAGTGGGGTTTGGAGCCCGGGGCATGGTTCGGTTTGAGCCTTAGAGCAGGCTGGAGAGTGGTGCTGGGATTCAGGATAGGGTGGGAATGGGTTTAGGCCCAGGGCTAGATTTGAAGGTAAGGAACAGGATAATGAGGTATCAGGGACAGGTTTGAAATGAGAGCCCAATGTAGGGTGATGGAGAGGGAGTTTGTTGAGGAGGGATGACTGCGTTCGGATTGCTAGGAATGGAAGGGGGTCCAAGATATGGAGGCCGATGGTAGGGTGCAGATCTCGGGTAGAATGAGTCATTCAGACATGTGTTGAAAATTGTTTCGTCTGGAACCGAAGCAATAACCGCTTATCGTCTCTCGGTAGCAGTTTGTTGCGCTGATTTCACTGTGTGAGGTAATTGTCGATCTCTCCATATCACGTTTTCCATTCCTGCCCCTCTCCCCACCCCCACACATCCTGGCTAATTGCACCCACAGCTCACCACATCATACTGTAGGCAAATCACTTACTTGTTTCAAATTCAGTGAAACATTGTGTTTAGAATCTGAATCTAATTCTGGGGCAGCACAAGGACAGGGTATGAGAGAAGGAGACTGCAGTTTATTTTTCTATGAAAGGAAAATATTGACATTACATTTGCAGTTATAGTAAGTGAGGTTGTTAGGGCTTATAATATAAACTGTAAAACTAACAAGCACTGTATTCACACAGGCGCAGTTAAACATAGAAATATGAAACTCTTTTTTCTCAATGATGTCCTGTCCATGTAGATTGCACTGCTGCAATTTTCACAATGGAATCAATTAGACTCGAGATCACATTGAGATTGTGTAATATTCACACATTATCCTTGCTGTAAAGATCAATAGAAAGATCAGCCTTGCTCTGTCAGGATTAGTTGCGGTTTTAACAGCGTTATTAGTGCTGAACATGCTGTCTGGCTCCAAAAAGATACAAGTGTGGGGATTCATTCCATTGGAAGTAATTTCAAACATATAACTTTTTAATGTTTTGAGGAAGCTTTAATGTTTATGTTTCTCCCTGAAGTTCATGTTTATGTGCTAAACATTATTCCTATACAATGACATAAATTTGATATATAATTCCTGCATTTTACTTGCCTATAGAGGATTGGAGTACAAGGGTGCAGAAGCTATGCTGCAGTTATACAAAACCCAGGTTAGACCCCAGTTGGAGTACTGTGAGCAGACACCACACCTTTGGATGGATAGACTGGCCTTGGAGGGAGCACTGTGTAGATTTACAAGAATGATACCTGGCCTTCAGGGGTTAAGTTATGAGGGGAGATATTACAAATTAGGCCGGCTCTCCGGAATTTAGAAGGTTAAAGGGTGATCTGATTGACATCTTCAAAATATTAACAGGAAAAGACAGGGTAGATAAAGTTAAACTATTTCCTCTGGTTGGAGATTCTAGTCTAGGAGGCATAGTTTGAGAATTATGGCCAGGACTGTTCAGAAGAGATGTTAGGAAGCACTTATACTCAGAAAGGTGGTAGAGATTTGGAATTCTCTTCCACAAACGGCAGTGAAGCGGGGATGATCAGTTGTTAATTTTAAATCTGAGATGTATTTTTGTTAAACAAAAGTATCAAGGGTGATGGGCCAAAAGCAGGTGTATGGAGATTGGCCAGAGATCAGCCATGATCTCATTGAATGGTTGAACAGGCTAACGGGACTGAGTGGCCTACTGTTCCTATGTGTGAGAGAGTTCTTTAATGATTAGCTTCTCTGCCCTGTGCCTATGCCACTGATCCATTTTAGAATGCCCTAAATTATAATAATTACAGTGGAGATAAAGAGGAAGCCTGCATTCTAAAGCCTGATTAAATCTTACTGGCCGGTTTTAATGATAAGAATGTTACTTTGCCATTGACCACATTACAGATCATTATATGTTAATATCTGAATAACATAATGCCTGGCTGCAAGCCAGTATGAGTCTTCTATAAATGCAAACTCCAACTATTAAATTTTGGCAACTGAAGGGGTACTTCAGGTCATTGAGTATGTGAGATGATCCCACGAGAATGCCTGAATGTACGATATTCAACTTGCTATCTGTGATTTGAATGAATTATAGTTAAGATATAAACAACGGTGTTTCTGTGAATAATTATCAGATTGACACAGTACCGCGTTAGACGTTAGACTGTTATTGTACTTTCTGCTTCGTTTTCAAGACCTTTAACTTGTTTTGCAATTTGGGCCGTTCAGAAACTGCATCAGTTTCTCAGACCCAGATTTTACCTAAATGCCGAGTGTGTATGGCCTGGGCTTCAGGTTACATGTGGAGCTCCGCTTCGCCCCGAACCAGTGGCCCCAGATTATATCTGTGAAACTCTAAGGCCATCGCTATCCCACTCCGACACCCCGAGCTCTGCACTTGGGCTGTGCCCGCTATTGTAAACTGCAGTTGAAACCGCAGTGACGCCTTTCACAGAAATTGCCCGCAGGGTTTTTTTCTCCCCCCCCCCCCACCACTTCATGTTCACTTCCTGTAAAAGAGCTGCAGTTTGTGGTGAAACGCTGAACTATGATGAGTAAGGAGCGCCTGGTGACTGTGCAGGGTGCTAAACAGACCAGGAGCATGAGAAAACTTGCAGATTCAGGCTCCTTAAACAAAGCAGCTCTCTCTCTGATAATGTAGCTTTACAACTCTAACCACTTCTGTTATTCTTGTAAGCCTGTTTCCTGTCCTTCCGCTGAAAGCTGTTTAAAATAAACATTTGGATCCTTGCAATGCACACTGCCCAGATACAGGTAAGGAGTAAACCAAGGTTAGATCTCCCCCCTGCACTTTTGTAGCACTGCCAGTGTCCGAGAGCTCGGTGACCCACGGCAGCTCTGGATTAACCTCCACTAACATCAGATAATTGACATTCTGTGTCCTCCCTTTGTTCTCCATTGCCCCATCCCTGTCTCCTGTCTGCTTTTCCTGATCCAGCTTCCTGTCTCCCCTCCCCCGGGACTTGAACACGCAAGACCCGGCTAATGGGATTCTTATGAAACTGACTGGTTAACAGAAAGTAAACGTTTCCGAGCAGAGAAACGATTGAAAGATGGTCAGGAAATGATGACTGAGGACCTGGAGCCAGAGAGGGTTCGGGGGAGTGTGAGACTGCGTTAAATTATAAACTTTGCAGCTGTGTTTATTTTCAAGGATTTGAATCGGCCAAATCCTGTTTGACAAACGTCATTAACCCTTTCACTGGGGATGTGCTTAAGGTGAAGCCTGTGCACCTTCTCTTGTCCATCTGTTTTTTTCCATCTTTAAGGTGGAAGGTCAGGGTTTATTGAGAGTGGGGTGAAAGGTCACAGCAGTGTATTACCCTCTGCCTGAATAGTGTGTTAGACCCTTAAGTTTTACACATGGCCAATGAGTTTTATTTAATTTCAGGTATGAAGAGAGAAGTGTTGTGCACAAAGAACACAGACAGTGTGTGTAAACCCTGTGGACTGAACCAGTACACTGCCTTCTGGAACATGCTGAAGAAATGCATGTCCTGTCAAGCCCCCTGCAAAGAAGGTGAGTCACAGGAATCTACTCCCTCACTGGGCCCCGGCATTGGGCCTCCAATAGTCTCTCTGTGCCCTGGGCCAATACAGGGAAAATGCTGGAGATTGAGCCATTGGGGTTTGGCTTGAGTTCAGCTCAGGTTTTGTACTAACGCCCACACTTGGGTTATTGGTCCTGCAACCCTATCCCTGTATCAAAGGGGGATCACTCACAGCGGGAAGGGAGGGCAGCTGGAATGGGTGCCCCGCAGACGTGGGCAGCAAAGGGGACGATTGGTTTCACTGGGGTCAGACCATTTCTGGGAGAGCGGTCAACACCAAGAGTAGCTGAAAGATGTATATAACTGAACATCACTCACCAAGAGCCCTCGGTAACAGACTGATGTGATTTTCCTTGCACATTCACAAAAACCCCAGTGTGTCTGCCAACCAGGGAACCCATTAGCCATAAACCCTGCAACATAAACAGTGATAACAAGGTGTAGAGCTGGATGAACACAGCAGGCCAAGCAGCATCAGAGGAGCAAGAAACTGCCGTTTCGGGCCTGGAAAAAAAAACGCAGCCAGCATAAACAGTGGCTCCCTGCACCCCCATCCTCATTAACCCTTAACCCACTGAGCTCTGAACCCTATCAAACCTTATGCCCTTTGAACTCCCACCCTTGTCAACTTTCCAAACCCAGTCCTGGCTTTGAACTGATGCTGTAGGATGTCCCTATACCTCATTGAGCTCCTGTATTCACTCCACCATGGAGAAAGGAAGTCAGTGGTCTCAGGCTGGGTATCCTTGTGCTGACCCATGCCTGGTGTAACCCATCCAACTTGATTGTCTCACGTTGTTTGTTGGATAACTCTGTTACAGTTCAGTCTGTGCACTCATTGACCTCCAGCTCCACCTTTTCATTCTCTCCCATTGTTATAGACCAGGACATGGTTCAGGACTGCACTTCATCCACCAAGAGAATCTGCCAATGCAAACAGGGCCTGCACTGCATCGATTCTGCAAAGGATACATGTAACCAGTGCCGGAAAAACACCGAATGCAAGGAGGGTCAGGGTGTCGTTAAACAAGGTGAGATGGTGTCAGATCTGCTGCTGTGTTGATGCTGTTTGCGGGGCTTTTCTGAGCTTGTTCGGGAATTGCCAACATTTCCCACGATGGGATATTGTCACAAAAAATAACTTTGTGTTTGTGCATCACAGGAACGAAAGATACGGATGTAAAATGTGCACCATGTCCTCCTGGAACGTTCTCCAATAAGGTCTCTTCCACAGAGCCCTGCCAACCACACATTGAGTAAGTGTGCCCTCATTGATAGGGGAGATGATGGTCTACGGGAGAGGTGATGACCTAGTGGTATAATCAGTGGACTGTTAAGCCAGGGACTTGGGTAATATTCCAGGGACGTGCGTTCAAATCCTGCCACAGTAGATGGTAGAATTTGAATTCAATACAGATCTAGAATGGAAAGTCTCATGTTGACCATGAATCCGTTGTTGGATTGTTGGAAAAAACAATCTGGTTTGCTAATGTCCTTTAGGAAAGGAAACTGCCATCTTTACCTGGTCTGCCTCGTGTGACTCCAGACCCATAGCGATGTGGTAGACTCTCAACTACTGGCCTAGTCAGTGATGCCCTCATTCTGTGAATGAATTTTTAAAAAAAATCGATAATACAACAGACACAGGCTCCTTCCTGGGAATGGAATTCTTTTTAACCCAGGGACTAAGTGACAGCATCAGACACTCCAGAGGCAGTTACAGTGTGGGTTAGATACAGAGAAAAGTTAACTCCTACTTTTTTCAACCAAAAGTAAAGCACCCTCGACTTTTTAAACTGAAAGCAAAGTTCCCTCAACACTATCCCCATTAAACACCCCCAGGACAGGAGCAGCACAGGGTCAAATACAGTGTAAAGCTTCTACACTTGATCAAAACAGGAAGTCGAATTTAATTATGAACAAAATTAAAATAATGATGGCTGGCCTGATAAGGCACCCTAGTCCCTGCGGTGCCCTTCAGTCTTGAAAGACCCTGATTGTGCCAGTGAGTACTGCGCGCTCCTGCCCCAGGGATACCCGATTGCAGTTGTAACTGTGAAAGAGTGGCAGACACTCAGCAACAATAAGCCCCTCCAGGGCCCACTGCCTGGTCCCTGTTCATGGCCACCTTGGCCAGGCCCAGGAACAGACCCACGAGAAGGCCTTTAGACTAGTCCACCCCTCCCTGCACCAGGTGCCTGTAGATCAGGAGCGTGGGGCTGAATTGAAACCAAAATCAAAGGAGCAGCCCCATCAAAAAAAACCCAAAATGGCGCTGCAAGCGGAGACATTCTACACTGACGCGAAATACCGTCTTCTCCAAGCTTCAGAAATGAGATGTGGCCTGGCACCCTGTGAACATACTCAAATAAAGATTGTATGAGATCCCCATGCGCAACACTCTCCACCCCAAACCCCCGATGGAAAAGGGAAGGAACCCTTGTAGTGAGCATTTATCTGGGAATCTATGCAACTGGAGGGCAAAACGTTATGCCAAGGTGTATCCGGGCAGCGGGCAAAGGTGGAGAAGCAGAGAGTGTGCGGCAGCAGCCTGTACAGGAAACACCATTTGGAAGGACACAGGGAGGATTTCCCCAAGGTGGCTCAGAACGTCAGGGGGAGGGTCTGATACGAGCAGCCGATGTCGAGTTCTGAACAGATGGGGGTCATTTCATCAAGGAAAGGTCAAGGAGAGAAAGGCACTTGACAGACCAGCCCTCTGGGAATGATGGATCACATCCTGGACGAGGTGGATGATAATATGAATGCTCTGGCCTGGGACAGTGTACGACTGTGTGGTTCCAGCACGGTGCCAAGGCAAGTCGACCCTTGTGAGGACCTCGTAGTCCGTGCTGAGGAGGGAGACTGGATGCCAGTTCTTTAACAAATGGAGATCCCACTTCTTGGGCAATAGAATACTGATGGCCCTGTGCCAAGTTAGGGGCCATCTCTCTGGTTGCTGATACATTCCCCCAGGGCTACAGGTCTTGGAGTGTGGCCTCCTTCTCTTCATACACCCCCTACAGGGCCAGATCCACATCAGGTTGACTGAGATGTGACTCCAGGTCAAGCATCTGCTTCTCCCACTCCTCGATCCTGGATTTCCGCTTCTTCATCGGCCTGCACGCGTACAGCTGACAGGAGACACAGACATGAGTCTTGCCCAAGTCCCACTGTAGCTTCAAGGAGGGGAAGAACCCCCCCCCAACGCTTCCTTCTCCAGCTGGTTCAGAACAGACGAAACAAGTCCTGGAACCGCTGGTCTTGCAGCAGCAGTTTATTAAAGTGCCAGTACACCGACCTTGCTCTGGCGCTGAACTGAATGAGTTCTGCCCACACCACGTTGTGATTGGTGAACAGCACTTGGCTACATGGAGGCTAAGGGAATGCAGGAGGCATGCACCATGGAAATGTACAGGCGGCCAATTCTGGACGCTCGCTAGGCCTCACAAAGGTAAAGGCGATAGAGTCAAGATGGAAGTCCCTGAACTTCCCCACCGATGGTGAACTTATCCAGGCACCGCCATGGTCCCTGCTCCTGAGACTACAATTAAAATCTCCCCCTGAGGAGAATACCTTCACCCTCATCGATGGGGCTGAAGGGACGTAGACACTTTTTGTAGAAGAAGCTCACCTGCTGCACTCCTAGCTGAGGCACATATCCGTTCACCGCGCTTCTGAGCCAAACCAGCATGTGCTCCTTCACCCTCAAGATCTCAGTGTGGAAGAAAGGAGCCAGCAAGATAGCACCCTGTTCACCTCCCCCTCCCGGAATTAGAGGCCAAGTCACTGATGTAGACCCCTCCCTGCCACCTCAGGGCTTTGTCTCCCAGCATTGTGAGGGTTTCTTGCAGGAGGCTCGCCATGTGTTCCCAGTCCCTGAGGGACAAGAGGATACAGAATCTACACTGTGTCTCTTTGCTGCCATTGATGTTGAGGCTGGCTACAGATGTCTTCTTGTCACTAGTTTAACACCTGTTGGACGGGTGGAGGGACTTTTGTTTTTGCCCCTCTGCTCCCCAAGAACACTGCAGAGGGACTCTTGGCATTGCCACCTCATGGTCTTGTCTACTCCCAGGGCTGCCAATAGTTGCCAGGCAGAAGGGATCAGTCGCGGGAGGGAATCTCAACAGTCCAATGCCGACTGGACTGTGTCTCGGTGACCCAGTGTTGCTGGTTTAAACAAAAATCCCTGAGGTCTTCTGTGGGGATGACGGGAAACTTGTCCACAAGCGTCGTGTCTCCCGTCACTTCATCTAACTCAGTGCTCATGACCGACACTCCATCATCCTCCAAAGCCCGACCCTTCCCCTACATTGAATGTCAAGGGTAGTCTGGGGTCACCAGTCAGACACACCCCTGCCTTGAACCCCCCCCCCAGGGTTGACAGCAGGAGGATCCTCCGCAGTGACAGTTTCACCTTAACCATCGGGACCACTAGGTGGCAGCACCCCTGTGTCGGGAAGAAATCCCCATTTAGGGTGGAGGTGCCTGGCTTTAAGGCCTGGGAGGGAGTGAGGGTTATGGGCAGCACCCCCGACCTGTCCTCCCTAAGCTGGTGGAGGTGGGGGAGCAGGAGCTTGGATGGAACGAAGGGTGGGATGTTTGACAAAATGACCCTCTGAGCCATGACCTCCAACGGGTCGATAGGCAAGAACCTCCTGCCCACAGTGAGCCTCTTTTCCTGGGTGAGGTGCACTGCCTTCTCAGTCTTTAGGAGGAACACTGCTTTCCTGTATGTTTTAGACACAGCGACAGTGGTGGGGACGCTGACCCACAACCACCACCATCCACCCCACCATGGGCACTGTGTTAAGTGTTCATGCTTATCTCGCAGTAGGTATAACCTTTCATCCCGAGCTGTTTGATTATGAGGCCAGAGGGAAGTGAGGCCCCCCTGAGGTGCAGGTGCTACAGAAGATGTAGCACCTCCCTCATTCCCCCCCACCCCTGTCTGCTGTGTAGGTGCAGCCACACCCTGATGCTGATATTGATGGTCCATCTGTCGCTATATCCCCACGGGAATGTTACCCCTCTTTTCCAAACAGCACCAAGTCCTTTCCAGCACCATTTGCCGGTCCAGTTCTTTAGGCATCATTGCTCTCACTCCCCAAGCTTTGGCCAGTAACTATCATACAATTTGCAAGTCCCAAAACAGTCCCTTAATGTGGAGGGGAGGGCCCCAGTCAGGAGCAGCGACAGGAGAGGGCCCGGGCCCCAGTCAGGAGCAGCGACGGGAGAGGGCCCGGGCCCCAGTCAGGAGCAGCGACAGGACAGGCTCCAAGTTCCAGATTCCAATAGCAGCAGAGTAAAGTTAGCTCTAATCATTAAAACTGAAAATAATGCTCTTTCTACACTGTCCCCATTAAACACTCTCAGGGCACAGGGTTAGATAGAGAGTAAAACTTCCTGTATACTATTACAGTTAAACACTTCCAGGGCACAGGGTTAGATAGAGAGTAAAACTTCCTGTATACTATTACAGTTAAACACTCCCAGGGCACAGGGTTAGATAGAGAGTAAAGCTTCCTCTATACTATTAAAATTAAACACTCCCAGGGGACAGGTACAGCATGGATTAGATACAGAGCAAAGCCATTGCAGGACAGGTTAGAGTATAGCTCTCCATGATATTTTTCAGTGCCTTATGGTCGCTCAGTGGGAGGATGATGACCCAGTGCCAAATTGGTGCCTCTTTTCCATGTTGGTTTGGGAATTTCTAGAATTGGCTGTGACTGTGTCAGCTCATCTCTCGTGGCTGTTTGGCCCAAGAACTGAGCACCTTGACTGTAACAACTGAACTTTTAACCATCACACGGTCTGCTTTGTGTCTTTGTTGGGGTGACTGGGTACGGAGCCTCTAAGTAGCTGGTTTGTTGGCAGCTGTTCTGAGCTAAGGAAGCTCCCTCAGAAGTTTGCCCCCTGAAAACAGCTGTGCCCTCTGTTGACATGTCACTGTTTTTGTATTTAGCGATTGTAATATCACAATTCCATTGCAAACGTTGGTTAGTGTTTCTATAGCCCTGGCACCTACTGGTGTCAGTCACTGGTGAAGCTGCCTTTGAGGGAGTCACAACAGTTAATGCAGTTGCTTCTTTGCAGCTGTACAACACTGAGGAGAAAGATTTCACAAAATGGGACCAGCACCAGGGATGCAGTTTGCAGCGATGAATTACTACCCCTGCCCCCTGCATTGAGAGGGACGCCTTCAGCACTTCAACCTAGCTCTCTTGATCCGACACAACAGGTACACGATCCCACGTCCTGTTAATTAATTTAAATCATTGACATCCTACTACTACCCCTCACTAGATTGTGGAATGGTCCTGATAGACTGGATCAGTATCAGGAACACACCCAGTCCAGTTCCGGGGACTGCTTCATTTTACATTGTGTGTTGCTACAGTCTGTGTGCAAGCACTTTATCACTCCTACGTTTGTGTTCCTGTCCAGCTCATGCATCTGACTGAAGTGGAACCAGTAAGTATCACCAGTTGGACACCAGTTAGCATGACACCCAACAGGAAACCACCCACTGAAGAGCTCCTACCTGGCCAATGGGTAGTGGGTAAGTTTGAGAACTCCTTTTATTTTCAGACGTGCTGTACAATTCTACCTTCTACCCTTGTGTCCCAGGGATTGTTTGTCTTTTCACCCTACACTATGGAGCTTTGGGCCCTTTGTAGTCAAATTGCCTCCCGTTAAGAATCTGGGCCAGCTCCATTCACTAAACCACTACCCTCTTTCTCCTCCTCCTCCCCCCGCCCCCCCCACCAACCCCAGTCCAAATGTTCAGTTTGATCTTGCTTTAAAACAGTTAACATTTTTGTTGTTTTTCAGTGATCTGTGTTTCTTCTATCGTTATGATCTTTGTCATAATAGTGATGCTGGTCTGTGTCCTTCGCAGAAGAACAGGTACTGTGAGATTGGATTCCAGCTGCTAACTCACTCCCGCATTTCTGCAAACTCAGTCCCAAATATTTCTTAGTCTGTAAACAAACTAACCAAAGCCCTTGATTAAATTAGTGCCTGTTACTCCCACTGTTTGCCCTAAGTCGGTGTTTATGGCCAACTCCACTGGTCATTTGAAACACTGCAAGTACAAAATTTTGTTTTCATTTCATTGGAGGCATTCAGAGAAGGCTAGCTAGATAGAAAGTAAGAACTGCTGATGCTGGAGTCAGAGATAACACAGCGTGGAGCTGGAGGAACACAGCAGGCCAGGCA